TCTCCTGAAGAACCTGAAAAACATTAAACCACAACTATAAGCCCGAAAGCTTAGTGAGATACCCCCAAAATACCAACCACATATACCATACGCACATAACATGTTATATCATAACAATTAACAGAACAGCCATGCATATCGGGTCTACTGTGTGACTGGTCCACCGTGTCAGGCCTTCAGTCCACCGGGTCCACCCTCCGAGTCTAGTCATATCCCTTGAGTCTGCAATGTGGTTGGTCCGCCCGCATCGGGCCTTCAACCCACCTGGTCCACTCTCTGAGTTTACAGTATGACTGGTCCGCCCACATCGGGCCTTCAGTCGGCCTGGTCCACTCTCCGAGCCTCGGCACGTCTGGTCCGCCCTCGTGGGGCCTACAACCTATCCGGACCGCTCGCTGGGCCTTCTGATAACCGGTCCGCCCTGGGTAAGTTGGCCTACAGCACAAAGCAGGTCCCACGTCAACCCAACCCCAGTCACTAACATATACCATCCTAACTACCAGGATGCACATAAACATACAATCATATAACAATTCACATTCCAGCAAACCGATCTAGAAGATCACGTAACACGACATACTCTAAGCAGGATACCTACCTAACCGGTCACTAGGATATACCATCCTAACTACCAGGATGCAAACATAGTAATACATCAACATAACAACAGTACCCGGATTAAAATCCGATAAAGGACCGGCCTTGGTGCCTTAGACCCTGTTGATATAGTGAGGATAACTCACCTTGCAACTACTAACTGAAAAGTTAAGATCACGCTACTCCAACATCCGACACGGACTCCACCCCTGATAAAGCCGAAAGACTAAACCCAATAAATACCACAGAATACCAAAATGCCCTTAGAAGTCAACTGGTCAATCCTTGATCAAAGTCAAAGTCAAAGTCAACCTCCTGGCTGACTCTATTCGCCGAGTGAGCCAGCCGACTCGCCGAGTCCCCCAACACTGAAAAGTCCCATCTCAACTCACTGAGTCATCCCTTGACTCACTGATTCTTAACTTAACCAGGAAAGGCTAAGACCTCAAGACCAGACTCGCCGAGTCCAAGAACCGACTTGCCGAGTCCAAGGCTATCTTTAACCAACTCGCTGAGTTGTTCTTCCAACTCGTCGAGTTCCTGGCCACCTTCAAGCAACTCGCCGAGTACACCCTTGTGACTCGCCGAGTACCACTAGCTCTTAACCCATACAGAAACCTTCCAGGTCATGCAGTCGATCCAAAACGTAGATCTACCCTTCTACAACCCATCCATCACGTAAAGTGGCAAACGTTACGTGAATCCAAAGAGATCTAGGCATTTTACACTCTAGGGCTAGGGTTTGGGACAAGATGACTTCACCAAACACTCAAGAACATGGAATTTAATGCACTCTACACTTTCTCCATTCCAGATCTGAGGTAGAAACCTTAGATCTAACCTTCAAACTCGAAATACCACAAGCTAAACTTTCCACACATTCAAAGATGATGAATCTAGATGAATATCAGCCCAAGAAACGAAGTAATACCTCAAAAGGAAGTCCCAACAGAAGAGAAATCCGAATCTTATCCAAGCCCCTTGCTCCAAGCCTCCTATCTCTCCAAGATCTTCTCCAAAAATCTCTTCTCCAAGGTTCAAATGCACTCAAATCCCTCACAATTGCGTCTTAGGGTTTTCTGGACTTCAATAGAGGGTAAATAGGCTGGGGAGAGGTTATAATGTCCTTTATATAGGGCTCATTCCCCGAAATTAGGGTTTTCTCCACTAAGCGCCTTCTCGCCGAGTCCAGCCTCCAACTCGCCGAGTTGGCCACTTAACACGCGACCAGAGTCACAACCCTACTCGCCGAGTCCACCCATGAACTCGCCGAGTTGCCCTTTCATATTTCCACTTTGAACCCTGAACTTGCACTCCTAAACTCGGGATGTTACAATACTCCCCCACTTAAATTAGGCTTTATCCTCGAAGCCTGCGGCAACACAACTCCACAACTACTCTCGCAATGCACCTCCTGGCATTAACCAGACCAGATTCGTCGAAACACAGCCATCGAAATCTGAAACCCAAGTTTCTCTCTTGTTGCGGTGTTCTGACCCCCGCTTCAAGCCGACCACCAGCCTTATCCTCTAATAACCACACCTAACCACCGAGTACCATTCCCTGATACTTCGCTCGCTCCAAATCACAACAATCATTTGACTCATATGAGATAGAAATAATCCTTGAACCACCAGAATCCCGGTCTGAGTCCAACTTTATCCACTCCTGGTCGACAGAAGGACACATCCTTCAGTCTCAGAGCAACTCTCAAGACTTCTCCTCCACAATCTCTTACCCATGCTGAACTGGCTCTAGCATCCTTAGGTTGGGAAAACCTGATACACTGACGACACCTCCAAACATCCCCTAGGATGAATTGCCACTACATACACAATTCCTTGGTC